TAACCTTAGACCTTGAAACATAGTTTATAGTTCAAGGTCAATGCACACCCTTTAAAAGAGATCTCGGACGGACAGATGGACGGATGGACACACTAATTTCTATGGGTCGCCGCAGAGAGGGGCCCTTAAAACGTTTTATAGTCTACGGTCACGTTTCTGAATTGCCAGGACATTTTATCAAAGGAAATGCAATTTATACTTTGTTGTCCACCTCATTTTATAGAAAATAATTTAAACTGCAATATCTGCTTGAATAAATTTTTGATCATTAAAATTAACTTCACAATTTTACCGACAGGAAAAAAAAAACCCAGAACCGTGCCTCATTGCACATGTCTTGGGTAGTAACGAATCTGCACGCACGCACAAATGTTCATAGTTGTGTATCACATAATTTCTTTTGCATTTAAATTTAATCATTTAATTCAAAATCTTATCATTTTGAAAATCGATCATATTTAAAAAAGAATATATATCCCAAATGAAATCACAAATCGATCATATTCACTGAAAACTTTGTCGCCATTCCTGGGTCTTCGGGCACTTACATGGATTTGTGATTTTTTGGATATTTACTTTTTCAAAATTATATATATACATATATGTGATATATATATATATATATATATATATATATATATATATATATATATATATATATATATATATATATATATATATATATATATATATATATATATATATACAGATATATACAGATATATAAGCATAACTGTTTTTTTTTAAAAACAAGGGTTGTTAAGATTTCTTAAAAAAAAATAAATAAATGTTGCTGAACTTTGATAAATCACAAGACTAACTGAAATGAAATACAGAAGAAAAAAAAACTTCAAATTTTGTGTTTGATTTTGTTCTTTTTTTTTTTTTTTTTTTTTTTTTTTTTTTGTTTTGTTTTTTTTTTTTTTTTTTTTTTTTTGTTTTTTTTTTACAATTTTCTAATTGAACTATTGCAACCAAATAAAAAAAAAAAACGTGCCAATATGGGGGGAAAATTAAAATCGATGACAATAAATCATACCAGATCACTTAAATAAAATATCAAAAAACTTGCGTTAAGAGTCTTAATAAAGTTCCAAATATTTGTTTTCAATTTGAAATTAGCAAATGTAACGCAAATGAGTCATTTGGTACATTAAAACAGCCTGTTATTTTTCTTTGATAAAGCAAGTTGTTTTTTAATACCCTCTTAACATTGAACTCACCAGGTTTTAATTAAGATATCATATATGGGGGGGGGGGGATGAATTTATAAATAATATTCAATTTAATAAAACTGAAAAAGGTAATGTTTTAGAGAAATGTGGCAAATTTGGATGCTATTGAAAATGATCTTCAAGTGTCTTGATAAAAAAAATCAACTACCGGGTACTAATTTATTTTGAGGTAAACAATCAAACAAAATGCACATTGGAAATGATATATAAACCATGGTGATTAAGATAATGCACACAAGTCTAAAAATAAGTCCTCTCGGGAGCACAATGTAAGCATGTGAAGTGAAAAGGGTATAACAAATTCAGAAAATAACGACCATGCATATTAAAACTTCAGAGTTGTTCAGATACACGCAAGTATTTTGATAATGCATGTGTAAATGGTACAAAAACAGTGTATCGGCACCAAACTAAAGCAACATAATAAAGTAATTGAAAATCATAAAAAATGTAGCTTAATTGTTTAAGCTATATGAGTCACTGCAGACTGCTAGGTTGCAGTCACTTTAACTATTAACAATGATCATGAGCCCTGCTTAACCCGCATAGCATGTTAACATAACTCAGTTGCATGTTGACATAAATAAGTTGCATGTCAACATATTTATAACGCATGTCAACATAAATAAGTAGCATGTTATCATAACTAAATTGCATGTTGACTTAAATAAGTTGCATGTCAACATATTTATCTCGCATGCAAACATAAATAAGTAGCATGTTATCATAACTAAATTGCATGTTGACTTAAATAAGTTGCATGTCAACATATTTATCTCGCATGCAAACATAACTAAGTTGCATGTTGACATAACCAAGTTGCATGTCGACATAACTAAGTTGCATGTTGACATAAATAAGTTGCATGTTGACATAAATAAGTAGCATGTTAACATATCTAAGTTGCATGTTGATATAAATAATTTGCATGCCAACATATTTATCTCGCATGTTAACATAAATAACTTGCATGTTGACATAAATAAGTAGCATCTTGAATGTTGGATGTCACATGTGGGCTATATTTGAGATTTTTTTTAGATCTTTTATAATTCTTATTTGAAAGCAATTTTCTTGCATGTCAACATATTTATGTTGCATGTTGACATAACTATCTTGCATGTCAACATATTTATCTTGCATGTCGACATATTTGATAGAAAAATAACTTGCACACAAGGGGCAGAAATATGCCACCATATTTTTGAATATTTACGTTTTAAAAATTATATATATATAACTAAGTTGCATGTCAACATATTTATCTCGCATGTCAACATAACTAAGTTGCATGTTGACATAAACATATTGCATGTTGACATAACTAAGTTGCATGTTGACTTAACTAAGTTGCCTGTTGACATAAATAAGTAGCATGTTAACATACCTAAGTTGCATGTTGACATAAATAACTTACATGCCAACATATTTATTTCGCATGTCAACATAAATAACTTGCATGTCGACATAAATAAGTAGCATCTAACATATTGGAAGTCACATGTGGGCAATATATGAGATTTTTAAAAATTTCTTATAATTCTTATTTGATTGCAATTTTCTTGCATGTCAACATATTTATGTTGCATGTTGACATAACTATCTTGCATGTCAACATACATATCTTGCATGTCGACATATTTGACAGAAAAATAACTTGCACACAAGGGGCAGAAATATGCCACCATACCTTCCAAATGGACGCTAAGTTGGTCTATTTGTTCGTGATTAATATATAAATAACTACCCGATAAGGATCGCACAACATACACTATACATGTGGAACCGGTCGAGGTAGATGAGTGGCCAGGGCGCTCGCTCGCAAGCGGGATATAATACCCGGTCCGATACCCAATTCTCAATCCCTGGGCTGCGTCAAGCCTACAAGACCTTTAACAGAGGTGGTGGATATTAAAATTTTAAATATTAAAAATATATTAGATGTTAAACTATCTCTGACCACTAAAATCCAGGAGCCATTGTTAAAATCATAACTTGGTCACGTTCAATGGTATTTACAATTATAACAGTTTGTGTTGTTACATGTGAATTTGTAATAACGCAAAATGTAACATGCGCGTTTCATTACATTGTGCATTTTTTTTTTATTTTGCGTTGTTACATACAAAGTGCAGTGCTACATGGTGAGTTTGATAGTAGATCTCGAAAATATTTGTCCAAACAATCTTCCATTATGTTAAATATATGAATATGTATAAATGCAACAGGGTGTGTAATACTGTCCTTTCTGACGATTTTATTTTATCAAATAAACTCTACAATATGACTACTTAAAGTAGTCATATTGCAGAGTTTATTTAATAACATAAAATCTGTCAGAAAGGACAATGTAAACAGTATTTGACTCGAGGTGTATAAGAGGGAGAAAGGGGTCACTTTTGTACCACTGGTTCAATGAAGTTCCAGTGATAATATTTAAGACATAAAATCTGTATTGCCCATGCATGTCACAAGCCAAAGGTTTAAATTTCTCTTACACTGTCTATTGCTGTATTTCTGAAATTGAATTTCAGTATAAGTGAATTATGAAAGAGTCCCAGGAAAATTATCAATAGATAATTTTTTAAAAATAGTAGCTGTTCGTGATCTGTTTGCTGAGACTTCAATATGAATTCAGGATTGTCCGCGTTCATCAACAGAATCCAAACCTAATAAATTCCCCGTGACAGACTGTATTTTCCATCCGGAGAACATGAAAACCGATGTCTATGTAAAAACGAAAATATGTTAGAATTTTGTTGCTGAGATATCTACTTGAATATACAGTATTCACTTCCGTGTAAATGTATTCTTTTTGGTATTAATAGTATGTGTTATTTTCCCCTATATATGTCACGAAAAGTTGATACAAAGAAAATCTTGATTTGTGTATGTTTGATGCATATCTTTATTGAAGTTGGGGGAAAATGTATTTTTGTTTTTACTTTCACATGATTATGGTATCAGGTGACAATTTTTCGACGCACTTTTGATTTATATAGGTGATGTTATAAGTGTAGGTAGTGTTATAAGTGTACGTAAGGTAATGTTATAAGTATATATAGGCAATGTTATAACATGTACTAAGTAAGTGTTTATCACAGCTTTATTAATGCCTTTTTAGTACAAAGATACAGTTGTTATCAGTAGAACAGAAGCTTCGTTATCTTAAAGTGAAGGCTTTGAACGCTTGTTATTCCTCAAGGACAGAAACTAGAAGGTTAGGATGCCTGTTCGATTTAGTTTTAAAATTACGTCTATTTTCAGTCACGTTCACACAATGAGAAGCTGATTTAAGGATGCCTCGGATTTTTTTTTCAATCTGGAACAAAAATGAAAGTTAATAGAAAATCCCCAAAATCCATTCTATTTTAATTTCTGTCCTTCCTGCTAAGTGTGTGAAGGTCTTGTCTATACTTGTTTCGTACGGACGTACTTACAAGCTAAACAGTAAAATCATTTTGTGCAACCTTTGCATAGATATTTGAACTTTTAAGAAAATGGTCAATGAACTTAATTTTGACATCACCGCTCTACGCATTCATTGAAATCAATATAACAAGGATTTCTCTGTCAAAAACGCGCTAATACTCAAGTTTTCGGGATTAAAACACACCCTTGTTAATTATTTTTTCGAATAGTTCAAAAGTACTATAACCTATAATGCCTAGTTGCCTACACACCTCAATCACTCATCGCCCTCCAATATTCATTTCCTGTTCAACCAGATAAATGGATTCATTAGCATATTCACAACATATCAGAATAATTAAATTGTTCCCTTTTTAATTCATCGTGATCTCATTCATAACAGAATTTGGATTTTTTTTTATTTATTTCCATTTACACAAAATTAACAGAACAAAAAATCTCCATCAAGTGACAATGATGTTACAATTTCACTATCACACTGCAGAATTTTAAACATTCATGTCACAATAAATAAATATACAGGATTTCTACAAAGTATAAAATTATTACTGGCTTTGTGCAAGTCTGATAATCTTGGCATTTTTGTATAATGATAAATTCATCAAATACAAAAAAAAATTTGTCTTTTTTTCAAAATCAAAAGTATCACTTATGCATAAAACCCTCTCCTGAATGTCTTTCCACTGTGGATGACCAAGTGCATTAGCCATTTTGATGGTAATTTTGTAAAAGTTTGTAAAAATCACAACCATGGACTATAAAGTTGATCACCATCCTGCCAGCAGGAAGGTCCTAGTAATCTTCCTCACCAATTATGGCTATCACAGTTTTGTGGGGAGTTTTTGGGCTCTATGGGCAGACCCTGTTGTCTTGTTGACTGAAACAAGCCAATTCAACTCTGAAATTCAAAGAAAAAAAAAGTCTTACAAACATGTATATTTTTCCAGACTTAATTAAAACAACTTAACATATATTTTTGTATAGTCAAATTCAAGGATGGTAATGATTTCTTACCATTTCTTCATCACTATCTGAGGACTCCTCAAATGTAACATTCTCCAGTGAACCTCCGAATTTCTGTAACTGTTGGACAATGTCATGATAACCTCGTCCATCTGCCAACATGATGGCGGTCAGACCACTATATGTCCTGGAATGAATGTTAATGGGGTACTGCAGTAAAAACTCCAGAAGTAAAACGTTTCCCATTTCTGCTGCATAATGGATAACAGTTTTCCCACTCTTACCATCCTGAAAAAGACAGAGATTAGACATACGTAATTAACACAAATCATCAATAATCCATTTTATTATTTACATTCCAAATCACAGGTGAACTTTATAATTAGTGTGAATGAATTATGAATAGATAAGACAGGTATTCAGTTGTCATCTGCCTCATAAATCACTCGGAGGAAAAATGCTTCTGATTGGCTGAAATGTTGCATTGTTTTTTCATACGGAATTAACACTGCTTTCTCACCTGTGTATTGAGGTTGGCTCCTGACAAAACCAATAGGCGAATGATTGGAAGGTGGGTGTGCTCTGCTGCCAAGTGCAAACAGGTCTGACCTGCAATAAAAAAAAATAGAGTTCAAGTAGTGAACAGGTAAATATGCTTAACAAAGTATAAATTCACTCATTAAATTTTTCACCAAAGACATTTTTATATATGCGTACCATCATAATTTCGTGCTTCCAAATCCTGGGTTCTACTTTGACTCAATAAAATCTGGACAATATCATCGAAACCTTCTCTGCAAGCGATGTGAAGAGGTGTGTCCCCTTTGGAATTCCTAGCCTCAATGTCAGCCCCTCCATCAATTAGAGCCTTCACCACCTGAGGAAGGCGTGTCATTACAGCCAGATGGAGGGGAGTCTGAAGCATGTTGTTTGGGAGATCTAGCCATTCCCTGTGAGGAGCCTGCTTTATGATATACAAAGCAATGGGGACCAGCAGATTTATGATTGCCATATGCAGCTGCCTGAAAAAAAGAAGATATCTCTTTAATAAAAATAGTTTACAATTTAACTTATTCTCTTAAATGACAAATAATTTACAATCTTTTCCAAGATATATTTTTTAATAAACGTTATGCAATGATACTAAAAATAAATGTAGTTTTTTCGCGTGATTATCTACATGTTGACAACTGACCAAGATTTAGGTCAGCTTTGTGTCAACATGTTTATTCATAAACCAAATCGGGAAGTACGTCTGACTCATTTGCATAAAGCTAGTTGTTGACCTCGCGGCGGGTTCACGTCACCATTCACTAACGGCGTGCGCATTAAAGGAAATTCCCAATCAAGAACAAAGGGCGTTAGATACGAACCCATTTTCATAAAGACATATCATGCAGCATTATGTAAAAATAAATAACTTACGAATCTCCATCAAGGTCTTGGTTGTAGAGTTCTAAAACTTCCTGGGATATTTGGCACTGAGGTTTTTGGCGATATGGCAACTCTGTTAGATCCGCCTCCACAAAACTTGAACTCGTGTAGCTTGTGTAACCATCATCTAAAGAACATTTTGTTTCCTCTGTTGTGCATTTTCTGCTTTCTAAAGTTAGGCTTTCTAACTTTTTTTCAAGTACACAAGTCTCTGGTACCCTCTCATGTAAAGATCCATAGGCACTTCCATAAGATTTTAGATCCACACCACTATCGCATACAGAATCCAACTTTTCGAATGCTGAATCATATGCACTTTTTTTCAAATAGTCATGAACACCTGCATATGGTGCACAATCCTCGACCAAATCTTCTACATCCAAATTTTCTGGATGGTCAAAGTTCCTGGTCGACATGTTGAATAACAATCTGGAAAATATGGCGAACTTACAAAAACAAGAAACGTTAGATCTATAACGATAAACCTCCGACGAAAACTGCGAGGTGATACTTCGTCTGGGTAAACACAAAGAAATGTTCGTTTGTTAACTTCTACTAGCGTCTGAAGCCTGTCAATCCAGTTTAAAAAGTAAAATACTACATTGCTGGGATTCCCAGATTTGTGACGTCACTGGAAATCCCCAACAAGTCACGTGCGTACTGCAGTTCGATAGAAACGAACACTAAACTTCTTACCTTAGGTTTTTTTAATGAATAAATTTAGCTAAAATATTCGAGACTGATAAAAAGTGTTATTTCTAGATATTGTTGCTTTTTCAAATGCAACTAGACAATATAATTTTTGAAAAATGAAAATTCTGGTTTTGATAATTCATAGAATTATCAATACAAAGTCAACCCGCCCTAAAAATCACAGATTTATATCATTAGCTTTCTTAAATTAAATGCAACAAATTTCTGTTGGAAATATCGATTGATGTCATCAGCACAATACAAAGTAAAAATAATAATAATACTAAAAATCGAGGAATAACCTTCTACCCCCCCCCCCCCCCGAGTGAAACCCCCATGGTTTCTACATTACACGGTTAAGGATTGCACTTTTGAAAGAAAAAAAAACATCTTAAACAAAAATTGTCTTTATATACCGTGGGCAATAAAAGGTTGTGAATAATTTAGATTTCAAACATTGAAAGTGCAACTTCACAATATATGAATTTGAAAAATGAAAGTGATTATTGTCAGTTACCTGTAATGGGGTGCACTCTTCATAGATCAGCATATACGAATATGATCTCCGGCAGTTGATTAATTTATCAGAGCCTAAATGTTGCTCAGGATCTCTGATGTTGGTAGATTAAGCACTAGCATGCAAACTCTGAAAATTTAAATGATTATGAGTATATATAAATATCTCTATGGGTTTCTTCCTTATCACAAGACCGACACTTTAAAGCAAACTAATCATTGCATGCATCTTATTAAAACGTTCTAATTGTGGGGCCTGATCAATTCAAAATCCCATCCTATCCTTAATTTTGATATATATTTATCAAGAAGATATCCCTGAGAGAGAGAGAGAGAGAGAGAGAGAGATTTGCAATGGAAGAAAATATACAGCTCATTTGTAATTTCTCAGTTCATGTTTGTTTGACTTATTAAGTCTTGTACATTGGTAATGGTTTGGGTCAGTTACATTTTTTAAAACATGGCATCCCCTTTTTAAAGTTTTTCAATTCAGTTGATTGGTTTGTACATGGTTGAACATGGATCAAACTTATTTCTTTGTTTTATTTTGCTTGCTTGTTTTGTTTAGTTTTTAATTGTTAGATATTTTGATTCATGGGTGAAGATGAATTAAAAACTTGCAATATTACACAACTTATCCGATGTCTTTAGAATTCTCCTTAGACTATTTGTCAATCAGCGAGAAAAGGAACTTCTGTCCATATACATGTATATAGTAAATAACGTTTAAAACTTTCTTTAAACCGTCATGCACTTTTACTCAACTTCAAAATTCATACAACTTGCTCCGCAGTAACAGATGGGCCCTACGTAAAGTTTCGTGAACTTTCTGCACCATGATTATCACGTGATTCTAAAAATTTCATTTTATGTAATGTGTGTTACTACGTCTGTTGTGAATATTGCGATTCAAGAGAGACAACGATTGCGTTTTTATAAGAATGATCAATGACCATTCCTTATGTTTCTATATTTAGATTTTCACATGCTGTCTGTTCGACATCCCTCCACAAAAAAGAAGAAAAAAATAGATAGATAGATAGATAGATCATGTGACATTACATAAATTATGGATTTATCTCCAGTCTCTTCTAGACTGTTCTAGACTGAACTTAATTTCATAAATATATTTTGAAAACTTAGTGTTTCTAGTTTCTATGTTTGAAGATAATGTTTCTATATTTAAACCTTTGTCAATTTTTTCATGTATAATTCCGAATAAAGAGACAAGAAAATAGCTTGAAAATTCTTAAAATTTTGAACAAGAAAAAAAAAATAACCTATTAATAAACACACACTGTAGTCCCCCCTCCCCCCTCACCAAATATTCAAGGATTTATAATCAACGGGACGAAAAACTGATGTGTTTTTTTTTTTTTAAATGATGGTGATGATGGGGTTCGGTTTAGATTGTTAGTATATCTTACTATACTGTATCACTAAAGCTTCATGTCTCCGGCACGGATCCAGGTTAAAATTAATAAAATGCACACTACTTAGAATGGTAAATAATATGTTTCATTATGAATTTAACCGTTAATAAAACACATTTGTAATATAATTTCTTTACAGAAATGAGGGATTGAGATTGAGGTGAAGTTAAGTTGAACCTTTCTCTAACTTTTAGGTACATTTTTTTTTCAAAGCTGGATTTTGCCAGTGTTCGATCGTATACAGCAACAAAAAGTGGGGGGGGGGGGGAGCAGGCAGCTCCCAAATGAAAATTTACATTGTTAAACTACATAAAAAAAACTATTCTAAAAACGTGCTCCCCCCTCTCCGGCCCACTGGCGTACTACGGGCCCGACTCATGATTAACAAAAATGAATTGGAGTCAATAGGTGCAGTCTGTGATCGCTGTGTACATTGTTTATATGAAAAACATTGACCGTATTGTATTGTATTGTTTATTACCAAGAACCATACAGTTCATAGGTTTAAAGTATATATACATATATACATAAATCAATTTGTACAATATTTATATAATCATTTCATTTTCATTTTTACATTAGATAAAGCAGAATCATAGTAAATAATCTTAGAAAGTATTCATTCTTAGTTTATAAAGCAGACAAAAACACAGTAATATAAATTTGATAATAGTAATGATGAGGATAATCTCATGAAATCAATGTGAATTGAACTTCTGCTCTTAATCTTGTACATTAATAAAGATATTTTCCTAGTTTACACAACTCTGTTACATTTTATGTCGACAACTATTGAACAAAATTAATGGTAGTGGGTTTTTTTTTTTTGTAATATTTCTTTAGGGGGACTTTTTTCTAACACCGGAAAAAAGGACAAACCAGAATAAAATGATACTCGTCTTCAACCTATGACAATGAGCAAAATTTGCACAGTCTTTTGATTCTAAGAATATATATTACAAAATCTTACGGATTTTGAGGGGGGGGGGGGTTGTTTCTCTTGTTTGTTTGTTGTTTTTCGGCTGTTTCTGTTGTCCGCTATATTTCCCATAATATGCCCCACTCCAGAGCGTCTTTAATCCAAACCACACAAACATTCTCCCGTTCCAGAAGTACGTGCGCTCTATCCCGTCATTTCGCTTATTCATAAGAAGAGGGTGAAAGGCATTCAGAATATTGAAGAATAATTATCCAATTTACTAGTATTTTAAGCCTACTTATCCAAACGCGCGCCCAATAATTTAAGAAATATATTTTCAACAAAAAAAAATGCTGTTAAACACCTGTTAATTGCAAGAGCAGGGGCTGTTTTGAAAAAATAAATAGCAGGTTTATTCTTCATATTTTTATACAGAAAAAAAATCATAGAGGTATAAATATGTATATTTTACACTACAGCGTGACTTTCTGTTTATTGCTGTTCCTGGGGATTTTTTTCTGAAGTTTTCACACTCACAATACCATCGGCATGATATATCTGAATAATGCGGTTACAAACATCATATTTTTAGCTGTAAGCATATACAAGGTAAAATTGGATGAAAATTTATTCACAATTATACGTATACTTTCATCTTATTTTACCCGATACTTACAAATTTATGACAAACTAAGGGTTGTATTATTGATAGAACGGACCCTTACTTAAATGTAAAATCCATGACTTTTTCTGCAGAGTGGCACTTTTAATCTGGTCTTATATAATAATACTTGAATCGATTTCAAATTATGCAGTATAAGGCTGATTATTTTAGCTTTATTTTTTTTACATGTAAGGACAGATCACATATAACATTAAAGCATTATTTAATAATCACTCCTTTGAGTGAGTTGTTAACAGCTTCCCTGCTCTTATTATGAGTTTCTGTTTTACGAAACTTTACATAAAGCGCCATCCTGGAATCTGATATACTCTGCAGAAAAAGTCATGAATTTGACAATTAACTAACGCGAAAGTTTCGCGAAACTTCTTTTTACTTATGAAAATGCATGAGCACAATGGGCTTTAAACAAAAGGAAAAAAAACATAACAGAAGAAACACACACACGTAATAAATTAATTAAAAAAAATCAATAAATAAATTGATTTATTTTTTGCTTGTCAAGATTTTTTTTAGGTAATTAAAGTTATTAATTATTTTGTATTGTAACGTTCTTGGATATTTGAAACTTAATTAATCGGCATTCCTGAAACCATGAATTTTCCTCCAGAGGTATTTTACTCGGAATCTGGGTGGGTCAAAATGTTTCTTGCAAATTTGTTAAGTATACCGATTTCAATCACAGTAGAGATATGAACAAAGGGAGACAACTCGAGTACAGTACTTTACAGACCTTTCACAGTAATAGTAACAACATGTCGATATTAAGAGAAAAGAAAAGAAACTAACTAAAGAAGATGATGATGATGATAGCAGATGGGGATTCAGGGGCGTAGCTTGACTTTAAATTCTAGTGAGGCAAAACCATACATGTAGCAGCAAGAGGGCTGTGGCCGCCTTAAGCCCCCAGCAGGTCCCGGGTGGTGTCATGAGAGGGGGGCACTCCGACAAAAAAATAGAGTTGGAGTTTTAAAATGCAATGAAATTTCATTTGCTGTACTGTTTTCTTTATTTAAGACTTCAGCATGATACTACATATTGTAAAAGAATGTAAAAGAGTTAATAAATATGTTTACTAAATCTTTTAAAACGTTTAAAGGTGAAAGCGCATCTTATTAAACTTTGCTTTTATTTCTTTAAAACGTCAATTCAACATTATAGAACTGCTTAAAATGTTAAAAGAAATGCCATTAATTTTACGTATTATCTGCAATGTATTGTTGATTATGGGAAGGGGTGGTGGTGGTTGTGAAAAATCTAGTGAGGCAGTTGCCTCATTGCCACAATGGAAGCTACGCCCCTGGGATTACCAATAATAAATGCTTTAAAAAATATATATATATA